TAGGTAACTTTAAAGATGTTACCCTAGATTTATTCCACCTACAATTATACAAGTAAGTTTGGTGCACAATGACCTATATTATCAGTTAGAGAGAGGCTGCTCTGCAACATAAATCAAACCTACACACGATGGGAACTGCCCTCTTGACTTGCCCATTTTTCCCTCCTATTTCCTAACTTAAATGTCTCAGACAGGTGCCTAAAACTGGAGACATCTTGAAAATGGGCCCCACAGACACACTAAAGATCTAATTGTTGTAAGGTTCTCTTTAGTGCTAGACTGGAAATCAAAATCGATTTCTTCTAATTTCCTGAATACCATTATTGTCCTATTCCTCCCATACTACCCAAATGAGCAGGTGAGAAATAATGATTTGCACTTGCAAATATAAGAAATAGTAAAAGTGGGATTTGCTCATGGACATTGAGTAGCATCCACTGCAAATGACTGATGAAAGTGTAAGAGTGTCAGAAAAGGTCACAAACCAAATAAAGGTGTCTGCCCCTTAATCCCACTGGACAGTGAAATTTTCCACCCTAATATACATTTTCTTTGGAAAACCTCTAGGTCCAAACATTCTTCTTACCTGTAAAAAAATCTAATAATATCAAATTTTTGCACTTAAAAATATGCTTAAGATGTATATTTAACTCTATAATTTCTGAGATTAAGGAGGGTACCCAGCATCATCTTGGGAGATCAGCCTCCCTCTCCTCTGAACGTAGCAGAGAGCTGGGACCAGAGCTCTGCAAAACTTGGCAGTCCCCAAAACCTCCTTTCAAACCAAACCCTAAAGTACTTTTTGCAAGTTTTAAGGGACAAAAAAAAAAAGAAAAACAGAAATGCAGAAGAAGTCTAGTAAAAGACTATGAGAGAATAAAAAAAGTTTCATTAAAAGAAAAAAGTAAAAATCCTTTTTCACTTTTTATCTACTGATAGATAAACAAAATTATCTGATCCTACCCATACTTGCATTTGAACCCACCCTAAGCAAGTCCAGCAGCAGGTCTCTGGCAGAAGTGCCTGAGTCAGCCCAGAAGGTTATCTTCTCATTCCCAACCCCCTCCCACAATCCGTGTTTTCCTTTTGCTCACACTAAATAAAGCAAACTGATATTTATAGCATTTCTTAGGAAGCTGATTGTTTTCATCTACTCACCAGGTCATCCAAAATACCTCAGAAATCAAGTTTCATGACAGTTACCAAAACAATGCTTTGACTCACTAACTTTGAGATGTTTATATAAGGACAGTAAAAAATATATATAAACATGAAAAAAAATCCCCATCTGGATTTTTTCTTCTGATTTATTACCTAATAATTCAATAGCAGATGACTTTTAATGTACTTCTGTAATTCTACAGCAAACATAGAAGACTTCAAAATAATCCTTATAAGAAAGAGGAAGATTATTTGATACTAAATCCATGTAACAGCAATTCCAACTGTTAGGGTTGCTCATTCTACTGTATAAAAGAAAGTAGAATTATAAGGCAAAAATATCTTTCAAGCAGTTGCTTTGGTACAAAAGGCAGTTTAGGTGACTAAACAGGAGAATAACATGGTGCTGGTACCATACATTTTTAAAAGAAAATAAAAGCACTTTGAAATCTCACATAGAAAATACTGAATAAATTACAGGATATGTGTTTCACAGGGAAAGAAGAGCAAATAGCTGTAATTTGGGAGGCTAGAATTTCCTTAATGAGATAGCATAAAGGGCTCTGCAAACAAAAGGACCTTTCTTAAAGGTTTTCAGTGACTTTACACAAGTTTCAATACTCCACCTTAGTGGCAGCATATGACACTGCGTCTGCATTTCTTAGACATTCATTGTCCATTTTTAATCAGCACATAATATATAAATGACATTAAGAGATCAAGAGCTTTCTACTATGAGCTATACAAATCCTGAGTTATGAAAAACATGATGTTCTGCTTTGTGAAATCACAGCAGTAACTTCTGATTGCCTGAAATTGTTTCAGAAAATAACACTTTAACCTTTATCTGTAGAGAAGGCAGCCTTCATCCTCAACTTAGGATCAATCAATCATCAGAAACATCCAGCTTCCCTTAATAGCTGGTTTCAGTTTGTACATGGAGCTTTCCTTTCTAGGGTTCAGAGCAGATGAATTAACATATTATAATGCATATTATAAACCACTAGTATATGGTCTAAGGATAAGGATTAACTACTATAGCAACCAGTACTATAGTCTGCCAACACATATTCACACAAATTGCTGGATTTTCTAAGTTTATATGGATAAGATTTATATGTAGGTGTTCATTTATTGTACAGAGATTGCAAGTTTTATATTATGTGGATTTCTTCAAACACATAAAAGTACAGCCATTACATCACTCTTCCAAAAAATCCCCCGTGTAATATTCAAAATAGAACTGCTATTAAAATAACAATTCAGTTGTATTTTACAAATACTTATGTTACACTTCTTCTTCTATTTCATTCTATTTAATTACTCTAGAGAAGTATTCTAGACCGTCAGTACCCTGAATTATCCAGAATGAAATAAAATGGCATGAAATCATGGTATAATCAAAACCTTTATACCCATAACCTTAATTCAATGCAAATTGCAGTTGGTTTTGTTTTTTTTTTAAATAGATGCATTAAAGAAAAGTGCTTTCTTACATGACACTTGAAGAATGGTGCATTTTAAAACAAATCATACAGGACATCAGATGACACCACAAACTACTATTTTTTTTTGAGTAAGCAGTGAATACTAAGCCCCACTGGAGTTCAATGTCACCTAAAAATTAATTCCTACAGATACAGGAATGTTCCTCCCCCCAAACACACTTCAGTATCTAAGTGTTTCAGGACAAAATGGGTGGAAGGGGAAAGAATACTGTGCCAACTGTGGTTACCTACATATGTGAATTAAACATACATATGTCAGATTCCACAGCTATCCACAAATGAGTAATGCATCTTAATTTCATCACTTCCAGTGGAGTGGAGCAGAAGCATTTTGAGAAAAAACAGAAGTGTAAGTGAGGAGAAAACTACAAGAGGAGGAAGATGGAAGAAAGAAAAAAATACTTAACTAAAATATGCTTCCTCTGTCTGTAAATATAACTCTGTTGCTTGCAAACCTATCATCTGCATTTCAGCTGCTTTCTTCCTAGTTCATTCTTCTATTTTTTGCCTGTCAGCTGACACAATCCTGATTCTTTCCCTCTTCAGTCACTTTCTCCTTCCCTCTTCCTACTGTTTTCCTTTCTATATTGCACTTCTGAATTTACCTTTCATTCTGACTCCCTTCTCACTTTATCAGTTCTGAAGTAATTATTACTGGTTTTTTTCTTCTACCATTTCAGTTCTGTAACCTCACTACTTAACTTCTCAGATTTAGCACCTTCTTTTTCTTGTTGTCCTATAGCAGATGCAATTATGTTCGAACAGTCCAACAATATAAATATCAAGGCTCGTGATGATGAAGTTTTCAACTAGTGTGAAACATCTGCCTGGCCAATAGACCATTATTACAGAATTTGTTTAGAAAATAATGCAAGATAGACATTATAATGAGATACTGAAATAAAAAAATCATTATATTAGAAAAGGAAAATAAATCAAGAAGAGAAAATTATTTGGAGCCCATTCAATTGCCAGTATTGCTGTGTCAGATCAGGGAAAAATTCACAAAATACCTCTGGGGTCTGCATCAATTCTCACCTCTAAATGGGCTACAGGAAAGCTGAAGAGGGACTTTTTACATGGACATGCAGTGACTGGACAAGAGGTGATGGCTTCAAATTGAAAGAGCGTTGGCTTAGATTTGATATTAAGACAAAATTCTAAACTGTGAGATACCATGTGGTGGTGAGTCACTGGAACAGGCTTCCCAGAGAAGCCCCATCGCTGGAAGGGTTCAAGGCCAGGCTGGATAGGGCTATGAATATTGGTCTAGTGGAAAGTGTCCCTGCCCATGGCAGGGAGGTTGGAACTTGATGATCTTGAAGCTTCCTTTCAGCTCTAACTATTCTAGGATTCTGTGATTTAACTTGCAGGTTCTTTCTAAAACACTGATTCACTACCAAAGACAAAGACAATTATCTTCCTCCAAAATAATACAACATTTATACTTTTGACCAGAATTTTAATGTTTTGAGTTGTTTGATCAGCATTCATGCAGACAGGTGTCTAACCTCAAACTTACAAGTCAAATTCTCTGTTATAGTTTAACTCTGGGATGTAGAAGAAAATAAAGCAAGAAGACTGCCAATGCAAGGTTCTTAATGGGTTATAGATGAAAGGAGGAATGCTTCTTCGAATTCTCTAAATTAATAGCCCTCCTCTATCCACAGACTGTTCTTGGCCAATATCCGTAAGTAATGGAATTACAAAAAAAAATAAGCTGCAGCTTCCAGAGTTTTGCAATTACCAGGGGATCATACAGCTTGAAGAACCATACATGGCTACATGCCACAGAAAATTCTAAGTCAAAGGGTTGTAGTCAAAGGTTACTTTGAAAAGCAACTTTCCAGTCTGAGATATAATAAAGTTTGAGAGGTTGAGTATTTAAAGGGAAACAGTGACAAGGTAAATGATATGTCTTGCAAAGTGAGGGAGAAAAAAGTAATTAAAATATCTCATCCACCCCCATTACTGTATGTTTTGAAAAAGGAATACAACTCAAAACTTGTGAGAACATACATGAAAAGCAGGATTTCATCTGGTTTTGTACTATGCAATGTTAGATCTCCAGGGTCATAATTATGAGATGAGACTCCTTAAGTAACCAGTATAATCTTCAGAAGATTTAACATATTTAATTCAACATTTTCCTTTTCAGTTCAATTAAGTTCTCAGCACTGGGGGTTTGACGCCACAGAAGCACTCCACTCAATTCAGAAAGCTGGAGTTGAGAACATAAAAGTTTTGAGATGAATACCAAAATCAAGTAAGCTCTAAGAAATGCTGTTTAACATAATTTTTACGACAAAAATAGATATACTAGCAACATACCTGAAGAAGAACATGAACAGAGCAGCTGTGATGCAGAACAAAAGGACCTACAAAAAGGAGAAAGACTGTTATTATATAAACCATCACACTACTACTGCTTATTCTGGATCATGAAGATTTTACAACTATTACTATAAAAGTTACACTTTATTTATATGCTTGATGGGCCAGAATGAAAGCCTGTCTGAATCCAAGAAACAGGATCACCTTGTTTCTGGTTGTTCCTGTAGAAGCTAAAATAATATGAAATCCAAACCAGGGTAGTGGGACAACAGACACAGGAAGTGGCACCACTTAAAACAGTTTGGAATAAAATAATTATAAAACAGCAGAATTTAAGCAATAAAGTGTAAGAACTGAAATTTAAACATTATATTTTGCCAGTCTTCACTTTTGTGATTTATTCAAATATCATACTGCTAGTTACAGTTTAAAAGGCATAGAGTTTAAAATGCCTTTATGGACAGCTGCTTCTGCTGAACTGCTTTCCAGCAGGTTTGAGTAGATAATTCCACACCCAGCTAAGAGCATCCTTCTAGTCATTTACTTGAAACTCACTTAGAACAATCCCATCTTGCTCTGTATTATCAGTGTGATCATCCAAGAGCCCTTGAGCAAACCTGGTAGCTCTCCAGCACCGAGAAGGGAACATCCTATCACTTCCTCCCATCCTCTGTGCTGGGGCTCAGCAATTCTACCTCCTCCTCGCCACCTACACAGGGACTCACAAATGCTGAGCAAAACAAACTCAAGGAGGAAACAAATTAAGTCAACACTGTGGAGAGTTTTCTGCCAATTTGGTGAGATAAGGAAACTACTGAAAGGGTATAAACGCAGTGGAGTAGTCCCAGGAGAAAAGGAAGGAGAGGAGACAGGTAGAAAGGATGAACCCATCATCCTCCTCAAGATACTAGCAAGTTGCTGTACCTTGACTGTAGAACTGCTTTTACAAACAGCTGTTTCAGGAACAACTACACCAGGCTTTAAGTTAAGAACCCGCCTTAATCCACTCCATCTTTGTCAGATACAGCTCATTGTTGAGAAAATACTGTTTTGCCCTAGATATATTGGCCCATATTTGTACCATCATTCAGGAGGCAAAAACCTTACAGAGATAGTGCAAGTCTTCCATAAAATACTTGCACTTATTTTCAAGGGTTGAAGACGCTGTGATCATGAGAGGATACAGATAGCTTACGTAAGAAGAAATGGAAATGCTGGAAGAGGTGCATATTTGAAGGTTATAAACATGTAGAACATTAGGCTTCTGCACGTTAATACAGATCAGAAAGTGTGATAAAAATATGAACAGGAAAAGTTTACAATGACTTTCAGAAAATAAAAAATCTTACAATGACACCATTTCCCTTTTCTAAGTCCTCTGACATGTGACTTAAAATTAGGTCACACCAGACACTATAATGTCTGCTGTGTAAACTACTCATTTTAAACTTTTTCTTCACCAGTACTATCATATTTTATTATTCTGCAACAAAAATGTGAACATCTGAAATAATTTTATATGAAATCATTAGGGCAAAGTGAGGGCAACGTTATATGTCTTCACCTCTTTCATGGTAATGATCAATTTACAGCCAAGTTCTACTTAAAAAGATTTGCTCTAATCCTCCAAAGTTCAAACCATATTTAAGTAGCCAAACAACAACCATCAATTCTTTGGATGTTACTTCTGAGAGACAGAAGGCTTGACATCTTGAGCAACAATACTGGGAAATAAGTGAGAAATGGCAAAGAACCAGTTTTCGGGGTGGGGGAATCAAAACAAAACAACAATAAAAACCCCAAATATGCCTTTACATACTAAAAATGTCCACTTTACTAAATGTTTTCTTGCCCTTTTTTCTTTTTTCGTTTTTTTACCTTCTTCCCAGTAAGTTTGAAAACAATCTAACAAATATTTAAACACATCATTAAGATGCCCTCTGAGCTCTTTCTCCTCCATGTTAAAGCACCCCAGCTTTCCCAGCATCTTCTTGTATGACAGATACTCCAAGCCCTTAATCATCTCCATGGTCCTTCTTTCTGGTATGTCCATGTCTGCCTTGTACTGGGAGACCCAGCACTGGACACAACACTACAGATGTGTCTCACCAGGGCTGAGTAGAAGGGAAGGATCACCTTACTCAACTGGTCTCCTTTGCTGGCTCACATTCAGCTTGGTGTCCACCAGAACCTCCAATTCTGGCCCATTTCTTCAGCCTGTGGAGGTCCCTTTGGATGGCAGCACAACCACCTAGTGCAGCAAGGGCTCTTCCCAGTTTTGTATCACCTGCAAAGCTGCTGAGGGTAAAGCCTTGTCCACTCATCCAGGTCATACAATAAAGATGCTGCTGACTCCAGCATGGTCTGCTGGGATCCACCACCAGCGACTGGCCTCCTGCTGACTGTGTGCTGCTGACCACAACCCTATGAGCCTGCCAGTTCAGTTCAGCCAGTTTTCAACCCATCTCACCATCCACACCCATAATTTTGTCTATAATCTGAATTCCATTAGCAAAATCCAGAAACTAAACATACTTGAAGGCCTTGCTTAATCAGCATCTATAATTTCTAGCTGTTGTCCAGAACTTAAAAATATTCTTTGAAAAAAATAAGATGTGGAAGATCTTAGGCAGGTGGAAAAGAGGAAACCGATATAAATTTTTGTAAAGGAGAAGTTCAGGGACTATTAGACTGTCAACTATACCATCTCTAATATCCACAATGATACTACAATAAATTATTTGAAACGGGCAGCTTATAACTTCTAGACAACAAGATAAGAAACAACCAACACAATAAAGAAGTAAATTAAAACTACTGTAATTTTCTTCTTTGCCAGGTGCTTTAAGGAAAGGAGAAAGTGTAATTTATCCGAACTTTAATGCACCTTTGTGGCAATTACTTATGCTAATTAAGTAAGTGGGCACATGGCTGCTCAAAAACACTGCAGGAGAAAACTTCCATAATTAGCAGTTCATTATCAAACTAAAAGGCATTTTAAGTGAGGTAACCAAAGAGGTTTTGCTTCCTTCTTCAATAATGATTTAAATGACGGAAAGTGATTGAATTGCCCAAAGTCAACAAGATGAAATTCAATAAAAAACAAATACGAAGTAGTTGGTAGCAAAAATCACGTACATAAAAAACAGGTAAGAAACAACTGTGTAGGCAAGAGTACAACAAGTATGCATGCAAGAGTATAACAAATTACTGACACAGCAAATAAGTAGAACTTATGTGAAAATAGGTGCCACATGACATTATGTTCAGCCTCTTAAAATCTGATCTGATAATCACTCTTACTAATATAAATAGTTATTTTCTACCATTATTTAACACCTTAGGTAAGAAATTAGCATGGTAAACAATTACCTGATGGAATTAGTCATCATTAGCTGAGACAGGAGTTCTTAGGAACAGCTACATCATCACCTATACGGGACTAAAGGGCAGAACTTTAGCCCTAAAATGCAGAAGGTGCTGAGAACATCAGCTCTGCCTCCAGAGATCACTGCCACGAACAGCACCTACACTGACACAGTGCAGAGGAAGGCTGATACAGGCACTTACTACTAGATTACATCAGTAATGGGTTTGGCAAGTGGTTTTTCTGAGCACTGAATTACTTCTCCTGCTCTCCACATCACTTCTCTTACTGTCCCAACTAAGTAAAAATCGCTTGGTGAGGTTTTTATTGCATCCTTCATCACTCCTCCTCCACCCATTAAGCTGATCTTTTTTGGGCAATCATAGTAGATTCTCCTGAGCACAACTCTACTCTCACCAGTTAGGGATGTAAAAAACTCCAGAAGAGGCAAATACAACATGAAACTCAATGCCCAGGTTACAAGAACATGTAATAAAACTAAAGCTGCAGGTATCTTACTGCTTTGAGATTATTCAAGAGAAGACAGGGAGGTGGTTGAAATACCACTGTAAGAGCCTTCCTGAGAAAGGTGATTCTTTAATTCGGTAGAAACAACTGCAAATGATGCCTAGAACCTGAAGTCTGTCAAATTCAGATAAGTAAAATGACAACTTTTTCTCTGGTTAGCAAGATTAACCAATGAAATGTGATTAGACCGGTTTGTGTACACTCAATGCACAATGTGGTGAGATTCACTGGCCAGTGAACCCCACTGGATTCAACTAAATGATTATATGGTCTCCTGTAGCATCAGCACTCATAAAAATAGTATTACTGAGGTGTGAATTTAAAACCAATGCACTACATACACTAAAACATGCATTTGTACACACCTTAGCAAAAGTTCCTGAATCCCTTACTTATAGTTAAATTTTGGTAGTGGACTAAAGACATACTTCAGGTCTGTCAAATGACTTATTAAGACTGTAGTGAAAATATAATGAAGACTGAAGGGAAAATATACTTCCAAATCCTACAGCAGCTCCAGCCCTACCGAAACGCTCCAGCTTTTTGTGTCTCCAAGTCCCTTGCTCCTCTCTCCAAGACCAGTGCTGTCTCACAGATGGCACCTCACAGCACCAAACCGCCCCTCAGACAGGGCCAGGGTGTTGTCAGCGACCATCTCTGTATTATGCTACAAGCTCCCTGTATTTCAATCCCCCGTGGAGACTGAAGGAGCCAAGGGGGAATGCTAAGCACTCTGTTTTCTCAAGCAAGTACAGGTCTGGAACAAATGAGATTCCAAGTCCAAGATCTGACAGTGCTCTAATGAAACAAAGGCAACCATCAAATATTACTGATCTGTATATGCTGGGTACAGCTACCTACAAGTCTGGCATTGTCTGGTTATATAATACCTCTTCTCTTTTACACACTGATTAAAAATTGCGATCTACTTATTTTTAATTTCTATTTATATCTTTTTATAATACGTATTATTTTTCTATTACTAAGAATTGCAGTAAGCAGAAAAAAGATGCCATTTAATTTTCAGTATTGCCACTGCTTATTAAAGAAGTCACACAATTAATTCCTGCACAGAAATGTCATTAATCAAGTTTTTAAAACAAAGATATTCTATGTTGAAAACAGGTAATTTGTTTCTGTAGAAAAGTG